TTAAAAACTTATTATGATGATCATCATCATAACAAAAATCAAGGGCTAGGATGTTGAAACAAGGGGTAATTGCAAGGTTATTCAGGGATGAAGCTAGAAGAAGGCCTGGAATCAAATGGACTGATATAAAAGATGAAATAATGATGAGGTACAATCTCTCAGTCTCTAAGTGGATATGCCAAAAAGCAAGAAGAATGGCCTTGGATCTTGTTATGGAAACTCAAGCTGAACAGTTTTCAAAACTTTGGGAGTATGAAGGTGAACTAAAGCGGTCCAACAAAGAAACACATACAGAGATAGTAACCATTCCTCAAGCTGATGGTAAACTGCGATTTGATAAGTTTTATGTCTGTTTTGAGGTTCTTAGAAAGCATTGGAAACGATGTTGTAGGCCTATTATTGGTCTTGATGGAGCATTTCTGAAGTGGGAGTTAAAAGGTGAGATATTAGCAGCTGTTGGAAGAGATGCGGATAACCGGATTTATCCTATAGCTTGGGTTGTAGTAAGGGTAGAGGATAATGATTCTTGGGGTTGGTTTGTTGACAAGTTGAAGCATGATCTTGGTTTAGGGCTAGGCAATGGGTTTACCATCATATCTGACAAGCAAAAAGGGTTGATTAATGCTGTTTCAGACCACCTTCCAAATGCAGAGCATAGGCATTGTGCTAGGCACATATTTGCCAATTGGAAGAAGACATATGGTGAGTATGAGTATGAAAGCTACTTCTGGGATGTGGCATTTAGTGGAAATGAGGGTGATTATAACTACAACATGGATGCTCTGAAAAGTTATGACCCACATGAAGTGTAAGTCCAAGTTTGCACCACATATAATGGAGCTTTATGAGTCAAACCGCACAACAGCTACGCTATGCTCAGTTATTAAAAGTAGCGAGAATTTGTACGAGGTGGAAGAGGGCAAAGCAAAGTATGAGGTGAACCTTAGCCATAGGCATTGTGGTTGTAACCAATGGAACATCACAGGAATTCCTTGTCCTCATGCGATAACTGTCATCACTGAACACAACCGTGATCCTGATGAGTAAGTGTTTCAGCTTTTAGATAATTATTTCACATGTTGCAGCCTATGTTATTTTGAGCTAACTTTGCTATTAAACCTTGCAGCTACGTGGATAAACACTTCTTGACATCTTGGTGGCAAGACACTTACTCAGACAACATAAAACCTGTGAGAGGAGAAAGGATGTGGAAGAGACAAGGCAAAGAACCTATTCAGGTACCTGAAAAAAGGAAGAAAAGAGGAAGGCCAAAGAAGTATGCTAGGATAAAAGAGGCTCATGAATCATCAACAAATCCAAACAAGGTTACAAGACATGGGAGAACCATCACATGCTCCAACTGCAAGAGAACTGGACATAATAAGGGTACTTGTAGCAAACCTGCGCTTCAGCCATACCCTCCAAGAAAGAGGGGAAGACCAAGGAAAACTCAAGTAAGTATAGATAATGTGTTTCATAACTTCTGTTTTGTGTTTGGTGTGTTATCTTAATTCAGTTTGCTTTTGTTATAGAATGATGATCCGTGGAGTATACATAATGCACCTAGACGGTACAGGGCAGCTCAAAGCCAGTCCACACCAAATGTTCAAGAAAGCCAATCCACACCAACTGATCCACAACCATCAACAGCTCCACCTTCTACTACCAGAGGCAGGGGTCGTGGTCGTCCTCGTGGTAGCCGAGGCAGGGGACGTGGCAGGGAATCTGAAAAACCAAGACCTCCTGTGTTTTTCATGTCACCTTATACCAACAGTGTCTTTGATGTGTGGAGACCTCAGTAGGAGTAGGTTGCAGGATTCATCAAGACTATCTACTTATGTAGCAATTAGGTTGCAGGGATCCTTATTTTGTCTGTTTTGAAACTGGTTTTATGTGTTGTGTTGTCTACTTTTGTATTGAACTTATGTGTTCTGTTCTTCTGTTTTGGATCCTAAACAATGGTTTTATGAATGCATCATTTTATTTTAGCCATAACATCTTATCATTACACCAAACAAGGAACATAACATCATACTACTTGAGAATTGAAATGATTATGGCTATGGTAAGAATATTCTTACAACAATAATAAGTGACAAATGAAACGTAGGTAAGAAGAAGAACAATGAACAAAAAAATTGTACCATTAATAGCAAAATAGGTGAAGTAAACAAAGGCTATCAATCTAAACTAAATTCATGTAGTTGGATTAACCAGAATATAAACCTTCTAAGAAATCACAGAATATCAAAAACATGTAGTTAGCCTAAAATCTCAAATTGACATGACATTTTCGTGATCCAAAATAAAAAACTGAGATTAAATTTTTTAGTTAAATGTTTAAATACATATATGTACCTTAATTGTAATATATTCTGAGAATTTCTCCATCTTCTTCTTTTCATTGATCAATCGTTTCATGGAGAAGAAAGTGGAAGTCAGTTGAGAAAAATTGTGAAAGTTTGTTATTATTTTTTAAAAAATTTGTGGAATGTATTAGAAAAGAAGAATGGGAATTGAGTTAACTGATTAACAATCGTATATAGAGGGAGCTAGAAAGAGGAAGAAGAAACAAACAGTTGGGAAAAATCAACAGTCGCTTTTATGATACTCGATAAATACATATCTACTAAATCAACAGTCGCTTTTACAATAACTGATTATTTCTCCATCTGACACGTGGCATAAGTCTCACTTTCTTATCTTTTACTTTCTTTTATAACAAAAATAAGTATTTCACAAAAATAAAAGGAGATCATTTTCTGATTAACACGTACACAAAATTTGACATGTCAAAACAACAAAATTAATATAATATATTTTATTTTATAATTTATTTGGGCAAAACAGTTATCTTTTATCCTCAACTCCACGATCATTTCAAATTTCGATTAATACATTCCACAAATTTGTAAAAAAATAATAACAAACTTTCACAATTTTTCTCAACTGACTTCCACTTTCTTCTCCATGAAACGATTGATCAATGAAAAGAAGAAGATGGAGAAATTCTCAGAATATATTACAATTAAGGTACATCTATGTATTTAAACATTTAACTAAAAAATTTAATCTCGGTTTTTTATTTTGGATCACGAAAATGTCATATCAATTTGAGATTTTAGGCTAACTACATGTTTTTGATATTCTGTGATTTCTTAGAAGGTTTACATTCTGGTTAATCCAACTACATGAATTTAGTTTAGATTGATAGCCTTTGTTTACTTCACCTATTTTGCTATTAATGGTACAATTTTTTTGTTCATTGTTCTTCTTCTTACCTACGTTTCATTTGTCACTTATTATTTTTCAGAATTTTCTGAAAACTCATTGTTTCTTTAAAGCATATGTAATAATTTTTTTGATTCTAAATTACAGACAAAATTCTGGTTCGATAGACCGGAAGCAAGAAAGGACTATGTGCTTAGTGTATTAGGGAGCAGATGTAAGGATGTTAAACGTAATCTTTGGATGATCTACAAACGAAATGATCGAAGTGAAACAATGCTAAATCGTCCCACCGTAGTACCAGATGATCAGTGGCGAAATTTTGTGACAGTGAGATTCACTGAAAAATGGAAGGTATGTTTCTATATTAATCTAATATATACTGTGTGAAATGCAAATAACTTCCTGGTTATGAATTTAAATTGAAAGAATATGCGAGAACGGAATATCAAGAACCAAAGCAAGAATACTATACCACATCTTTGTGGAAGAAAGAGTTTTGCGAGGAAACGACGTGAAATTGTAAGTAGCTTATATTGCTTACTTTGGTGATTCTCATACTTTTTCATATATATTTTGTTGTATATTACTTAATTGTTATATGGTGCCTTAATAGAATAATTATTGGTTGTAGTTTTTATTAATAATAAGCTCTTGCACATACATATATAATGAGTCTAAGGATTTATTTAAATAATGTCTGCTCTTTAATCATTTTTAATGTATCCGTAGGAAGAACAAACTGGAAAAACACCGTGTCGAGCAGAATTTTTCATTACAAGTCGCATGAAACCTGATGGAAGTTTTGTATGTGAAGAGGCAAAAAACCGTGCGGTTAGTTTTTTTATATAAATGCATTGTTAAGCTAATATGCTTAGTTTTATCAATGGTTATGCTTGTTTATATCTTGATTAAATATTTCAGGATGAACTCACACTCTTGATGAGTCAAAATCCTTCAGCTGGAGGGTCAAACAATATCACCGCAAGTTTGGATGATGAATACTCCAAAGTATTTGGTCCAGAGCGTTCAGGACGCGTCCGTTGTGTCGGACGTGGACCTACACCTTCAAAATTGCCGAAATGTTCTCCTACTCCAATATTAGATGCAACAAATTCCGAAGCTGTTGAGTTGAGGTCACAAGTTTCAGGGTTGCAAAGCCAAGTCCAGAACTTGGCTGGGATTATTCAACAATTAGTTGGTGCCTCTACTACTCAGGTAAATTTATGGTGCTTAGTTTTTCATGTTATAATAGTGTGTTTTATTGTGAACTAATGTTACTGTATGTATAGACAACTGAATCGACAACTGGATCGACGCCAAATTTAGCTACTCTGTTAGCAAACTTGGCCAATCAGCCAAATTTTACTACTATTTTATCGAGCTTGGCCAATCCACCAAATTCTCAGGTATTTTTTTTGAAATCTTTATGTCTTCACTTGTTTAATTCATCATTTCTCCTCAACTCTCTAATAGTCTATTTGATATCGAAATATCTGTGAAGAACTAGTCAGGAGAGAGTAGTCTGACATAATTTATTGTTAATTGGGTTGTTCATAGGCAATGGAAGAAGGACATGAAAATCGGAACGTGGGCAACTCCGGTACTTAGGATTACAAGATCTGGTTATATTAAGTTCATTAGCTATATTTCTTTGTGGATTATGTGTTTGTTTTCTTTAAACAGTGATATCTACATTTTGTTACATTCAACTAGGTTTTATATTTGATGCATTTTTATTTTATCACGTATTTAATAGATTTGATATATTATTTACAAAAGAAAAAAGTTTATTATAAAATTAAAAAAGAAATATTACTTCGATTGTAGAAGTGATGCGACGACTATATAAAGTGATGCAACAACAATTTGTTGGAATCAATTACAGTAAATGATATAAATATTTTTTATCATTTTTTTATAAACGTCACAAAAGTTAATATCAGCTGTGATAAACTGATACAATTTATTTCATCGTTTATACTAACTGATGTCACTATTAATATCACATATTTTAAATGACACAAGTTTACCATCACTTGTGAAAGCTGACGCAAATTATTTACATCAATTATTAAAACTGTTAGTAAATATTTACATCGGTTATTGTAGTCGTCGCAATATTTACATCATTTCTTATAACTGACGTATTGTAGCATCATTTGTTATAATTGATGGAAATGTTGCTATCGGTTGCTATAACCGATGCATTAATTTGCATCGCCACTTTTGATATCAATTATATAAGTGATGGTAACTCATTTGTATCATTCGATAACCGATGTAAGTATAGAAAATAAGTGATGCTATCCACATGTTTTTTTGTAGTGAATGAAACCTCCCCACGAGATTGCAAGGAATTGTTTTAGCAATTTTTCTTTCTCTTTCCATACATTTGTCTCTTCTTCAAGCTTCTTCTTCTCTTCTTCAAGCTTTATCTTCTCTTCTTCAAGCTGGTTCTTTTCTTCTTCAAGCCTTTTCTTCTTTTCTTCTTCTTCTTCTTCGTTGCGGTTGAATCCCGATCTACTCAGAATCCTTATTTCTTCATTTTTTTGTTGATTAATTGCTCTAAGAGACTCTTTCAAAACCTTCAATTCATCTCTTGCCTCCAATAAGCTCAATTTTTGCCAATTGCATTGTTTCTCAACATCAGACCAAGAAACAAAGCCATGAACATCACATTTGAAGAATCTTCTTCCCGGATTCTCATCGGTCCATGACTTTAACTTGGTTGTAGATCTACCACAGTTGCAAGAACGTCCCCAGCTCGCCTGTCCATAACTCTCCTGCCCGAAGCTCATCTTGCTGTTGTTAGCATCAGATCTGGAGCTCTGACCACCTGACATTTTTTTTTCTTCGTTTACCTGAAGAAGCTTAAGAGAAGAGAAGATATAAAGAAACGAGAGGGTAAAATGGGGATTTTTTTTGGCCAATTAAACACGTGCAAAGGAAAAGGGCCAATAATTAACAGTGTTTACGATTTCGTCAACGGCCGTTAACGGCGTTTCAACGTCGGGAAGGAAAACGGAGAAAACAAATACGTCAGGGTTTTTAATACAACTCAAGAATAAGCTGGGTTTTATTCCGGCAACGAAAAAAGTTTGAGAAGGTTTCTGGCAAATATTAAATAGTTGGGTTTTTTTTAGGGAATTTTCCCTATTTTATTACTTCAATTTACTAAAATTAAAGAAAGAAAAAAACCCAAAACAGAGGATTTTGATCAAGTAAAAGAAAGAATATTTTCAAGAGAAAGCAACCGATTCTCACCTTTATATAATACCCACTGGTTTTTCCTTTTTCCGAGAAAGTTTTCAGTTTTCCGGGAAAATTGTAACAGAACAAAAAAAAACTCAGTTTTTGACAAATTTGGTCACTTCTTCTTTCTTGTCAAGTCTGCATTTTTCTCGTCTCTTTCGGGTATTTTGATTCTCTAACTTTCTCTCTTTAATTCCTCTACCAGATATCATCGACGTGTGTGTGGCATTCGAAAATCAAAATCCCAGAGGAAAAAAAACATTTTTTTTTTTTGGAATTTTCTCGTTTCTGGTTTTTGGATCATACAAACAAACAAACAAGTGAACAACCGTGAAATCGGCTCTCTCCACAGAAAAAAAATAAAAAGAAAAGACTTTTCTTTCTTTCTTCTGCAAGTAACTGAGCAGATTTCGGTTTTTTTTTTTTTTTCTTTCTTCAAATTTTATAATTTTAATTTAAAAAAATTTCTTGTCCATAATTTCCGTTTTCCCTTAAATTCAGCTGTCCTAACGTCAAAACTCAGACACTCGCTTGCGTGTCTCCCTCTTAAAATCTCCCTTCTCTCTCTCTCTCTCTCTCTCTCTCTCTCTCTTTCGTTTCTCTCTGTTTTCTGGGTTATTTCAAAGAAGAATCAAGAAACGAAACCTCTCCCTTTTTCTCTCTTACAAGAATCATGGTGTTTGGAAATGGGTCAACGCAAAAATCAAACCTTGACAGATTCCTTCATTGCACAACACCTGTGGTGCCACCCCAATCTCTCCCCAAGGTTTGATTCATTCTCTCTTCTTCTTTCTTCTTTTGATGGTAATATTGAAATTTATTTGGATTTTGCAGGCGGAGATTAGGAGTTTGAATCGGATTTGGCATCCATGGGAGAGAGAAAAGGTTGAGTTTTTCAGATTGAGTGATCTATGGGATTGTTATGATGAATGGAGTGCTTATGGAGCTGGTGTTCCCATTCGTCTCACTAATGGAGAATCTCTTGTTCAATATTATGTTCCTTATCTTTCTGCTATTCAGATTTTCACCTCTCGTTCTTCCTTGATCCGCTTTAGGTACACACATACATTCATATCTCTCTCAAGACTGAATCTTTTTTGTTGAGGGAATATATATATTTGATTTGAAAGTTTGATCCTTTGATGAATCTATTGAATATGTGAGATGATGTGTGACCCCTTTTGGCTTGTTCTTGATTAGGGATGACTCTGAAGATGGGGAAAGCAGAGATTCGTTTAGTGATTCATATAGTGATGAGAGTGAAAGTGATAAACTTTCGAGATGTGCTTCTGAGGAAGGACTTGAACATGACGCTCTCTTACATCCGAATGATCGGTTGGGATATCTTTACCTGCAATACTTTGAGAGATCAGCTCCTTATGCTCGTGTTCCTCTCATGGATAAGGTAACTCAATGTAGCTCCTTTTTTGCTCCCCCCATTGATCTTGCTTTGATATTTGATTATACTAGGATTAGTCGCTTGGTTGATTCCTCATTAGCGATAGGCAGGAAAGTCCTTAGAATATTATCATTCAAGAGTTGAAATGAGACATGGTCATTTCGATTTCAGATCAATGAATTGGCTCAAAGGTACCCTGGATTAATGTCGTTGAGAAGCGTAGATCTTTCCCCGGCAAGTTGGATGGCGGTAGCGTGGTACCCGATTTACCATATTCCAATGGGAAGGACCATCAAAGATTTATCCACTTGTTTCCTTAGTTATCACACTCTTTCATCTTCTTTCCAAGGTACTAATCTTCTCAATCCTCTCGATGTGTTATATATCTCGCAAGAATGTAACCGTTATGGTCTTGATTTACAGATATGGAGCCAGAAGAAAATGGCGGGGAAAAGGAGAGGATCCGGAAGGAAGGAGAAGGTGTAACTTTGCTTCCTTTTGGATTAGCTACTTACAAGATGCAAGGCAATGTTTGGCTCTCGGAAGACGATCAAGGTCAAGATCAAGAGCGGGTTCTATCGCTTCTAAGTGTTGCGGATTCTTGGCTAAAACAGCTAAGAGTCCAACACCATGACTTCAACTACTTCTCAAGAATGGCTCACCGTGGCTAAAACAAATCCGTCGCTATACTGGTGATTTTCAAATGTAGATTTTGTATCTCTTTTTGTTTTTCTTGTTGGTCTCAAGTGAGAAGGAGATTACTTTTTTCCCTGGTCGCAATACCGTGTTTGTCCAGTGGTCGGAGTAGCAGCGGCAGCGGCATGGAGGCTCAGACCGCTGACTGAGCGTTTCCTTAAACATCGTTGTGGGTGTAGAATAGCTTTTAAGTCATATCAGTGGGAGATGTCGTAAATTATAAGTGCTGATTTGTTGAAAAGAGTGGTTTCTTGTTTCTTGATAACATTGATTGAGAGGGTCTTTGTTCTTGTACTTCAGTAATACTTTAATGGAGTAGCAAATGTAATGATCTAATCATACTTGTAATTTTTTTTTACGCAAATACTTAAATCAAAGCTGATGATTTTTAAATTACGTTTCCATCTATTTGTGTTTTTATAGATCAGTGGATCATATATTTGATAGAACAATATCACCTTAATAACTAATAAGCATATAACACTCTTTACATTAATATAATACCAAATATTTACATTTTTTTTGTCTAACAACAATACAACAAACATTAAGCGGGTTTAACTCAAAATGGTAACATATAGAAGACGATAATAACATAAACTAATTGACTACAAATTATAGTAATTTGTACACCATGATTTAGTCGTTCTACATTGTGTAGAATTTCAATCATCATATAAAATTTGATACAAAATATTTTGGATAGTTTGTTGTTTATATATATTATATAGCTTAATTCAATATGTAGTCCATAGATATCAAATTTTATATGGTTTAAGCAATATTTTTTTACTAATCACGAAAAAACATTATTCCTATTTAAAAATTAATTTGGTTTTTTTTTTCAAATAAATTTTGGCATAAAATACACATTTCAACCTCAAGTTATACAATTTATAAATATAATGAATATATAACAAAAATACCAAAAGTCAATTTGTTTTTTTGTAGAGATATAATAAAAATTTTAAGCCGATTTTAAGTTGACTTAAAATATCAAAACGAAGCTTACTGCATAGCATAAATAGTATATATTGTTGATATTTTATTATTATTTTTTTTTGCCGGCTTGTTGATTTTGTTTTAAGAATATTGGCTATGATTGGTAACCAATTTTAAGCTGTAGAGCTTTGACAGTTACCAATCACAAAAGCTTTATAAAAAGCTATACACTATAAAAAAAAAAAAACTTTTTGACAAAAACAAAAATAAAAAAAAAATAAATTAAAAACGGTTACGGTTAAATACGGTTACGATTAAATACGGTTATAACAGTTACGGTTAAATACGGTTATAACGGTTATGGTTAAATATGGTTACGATTACGGTTACAACGGTTACGGATAATTACGGTTATTGTTATTTGATGACTACAATACGGTTAATATCGGAGGCGAAATCTTACGAGTTACCTAACTTATTATAATACTTTTCATAAAATCAAAAATAATATGTCCAGGCCCGCCCCGCTAAGCCCAACGGGTTAGCGGGCCGGCCCACGGGTTTAGTTTTAAATATTTTAAAAATAATTAAAAAAATAAAATTAATTTTTAAAATTTGAAATTAACAATTTTTCAATAAAAAAAAACTTTTAGAATTAATTTTTGTAAATCTTATAATTTTATACATTAAATTTTGTTATATGATCATATATTTCACATATATATTTTCAAAATTATGTAAAAATATCTATTTATTTATATTAATTATTTATTTTATTAAATATTTGTAGTCCGCGGGCCGGCCCGCAAATCAGCGGACAAAACCCGCAAAAACCCGCAATCCGCCTGGGCTTGTCCGCAAGGCCCACTATTTTATGGGCATGAAAAATGATGTCCAAGCCCGCCCCGCTGTGGGCTACTTGGACAAAGCCCGCGGTCTATCGGCCCGTTTGACACCTCTAATTGTAACTATGTATAATATAAAAAAAAAGTCTCGAATGTTCAGATAAAGTTTTCAGAAAAAGTAAATAATACAGCTTATGAAAAAATTTCATCAGAAATAATATTTTTTTCTCAAACAATTATTTTGGAATGTTATATTGTTCAAAATAAAGAAAATTTTATTTATTATAGGACTAGTAAATTCATATTATTATTCTAACAATAAAATATTGTTCATTCTATATAATGTTAATTTTCATATGTAATTATATACTAAAGTACATTTCTATATAATTTTTTCTTTCTTTCTAAATTCTTAATATTATTTATTATGTGTACCGCTATTATGTTTCCAATCAGAATAAATTTTTAAAATTTGTTCTGCGTTATTTTTTTGTACAGCTTTCGTGTTTTATTTTTTTGTACAGCTTTACACTATTCCCTAACGGCTAACAGCTCCAGCTAACCACTCCAGCTAACAGCTAACAGCTTGTTAACAATCAGACCCATTATATCAATTTAAGGTTTTCTTTTTATGGTTCAACATCAATACAAGGTTTTAGAAAATTAGAAAATACAGAAGTAAATGGATTAACAAAAATAAAAAATACTTGTTATAAATCACGAAAAAAGTGGGACCTTATGAGGCCAAAAATGTCAAACATGTGACGGAGAAAAATCAAAGAACGTGGACCCTTTGATTAGACTGTAAATTGACTTGATGGAGTGTTCAGTGTTTGGTCCCTCCACTGATTTTTCTAGACACCTTCTAACTTTTTTTTTTTGTTTACTTAAATGGAACGAATCATTTCCTAACAATTAGATAGCGAAAAAATCATTTAAGTGGTCGGCCCATTTCATTTTCCCGTAATAAATACTCCCTCCGTTTCGTTTTATTTGTCGTTTTTATAATAGTTATCGTTTTAGGTTTTCGATGCAAATGTTTAGTGAAAATTCCAGTTTTATCCCTACTGTTTTAATGTTTCGGCCAATGAATTTTTTTTAATAACATATACTAATAAAAGGTAAAACATAAAATTGAATGTTTTTCTTAGTTTATGTGGAAAAACCTTAAACGACAACTAAAACGAAACGGAGAAAATAGTATATTAATTGATATTATTAATTTTAAAAAATAATAGTACTATTTTCATTACTTGCAAACAGAAACAATCTAAAGAATCGAAGAAAGTGATGTTTTGGGGTTTCTTCTCGACCTGAATTCACGTTGTTTATTTGACGTCGACCAGTTTTTTTGCTTTATTTTGACACTTCATATCTAATTAATTTTAATTTTAATAGAATTAGTCCGTTGTAGTAAAGAGGCCGACTTGGAGGAAATGTTTACATGTGCATTAGCACAGATTCCGTAACAAAACTAACAAAGTTTTGCGTTTGCCTATCTTTTACGACTCAAGAACATTAAACAGAATCAAAACCCTTGTTTGAAAAATCGCTAGACGCTAGTCGGGCGTTCGGTATGGGTTTAGCGATTAATAAAAAAATCGGATTAAAATCGGGGATTAATCGAAGACTAGTTTTAGAGTTGTTTTAATAATTTTAAAATATATTAATCTAATATTGTTTTCAAAATTTCAATAAATATATAAAAATATATTTTTGAGACAAATTTTTATGATTTTTATTAAAAAATTATGATTTTTATTATAAAAAAATTATGATTTTTATTAAAGTTTGAACATGAATTATTGTAAAACATCACAAACTTTCAAGAGAAATTGTTAAAAATGTCTATTTTTCAATATCCCTTTTCAAAAATGCTCCCTTTGAGGGTCCATTTTTCAGTTTGCCCTCTTTTAATTTTTAATGACCATTTTACCCTTATTTGAAACAAAATTAGGTCCACAAAATACAAAATATTTTTTGGCGGGAAAAGTGTTCCCGCAAATTTTTGTCGGGAAAAGTGATCCCGCAATTTTCCCGCCAAAATTTTTTTTTTCGGGAAAAGTGATTCCGCAATTTTTTTGGCGGGAATAATTTTGGCGGAAAAAATTTACAAGGTATTTTAAAGGTTTTACAGAGTTTTTACAAATGTTTTGTAAGGTTTTACAATGTATTTTAAAAGGTTTTACAAGACTTATAAGGTTTTACAAGGTACTTATAAGGTTTTACAATGTATTTTTTGTAAAACCTTATAAAAAACTTGTAAAACCTTATAAAATAGCTTGTAAAATCTTATAATATCTTATAAATACTTTATAAATACGTTGTAAAACCTTTTAAATTACATTGTAAAACCTTATAAATACCCTGTAAAAACTTTTAAAATACTTTGTAAATTTTTCCCGTCAAAAAAATTGCCGAATAACTTTTCCCGCAAAAAAATTTTTTGGCGGGAAAAATTTTTACGGGAAAATTTTACAAGGTATTTTAAAGGTTTTACAAGTTTTTACAAAATCAAATTTGTAATTTTGATGTGTGCACATTCTCATATTTTCCTTATATATTTGTGATATCTTTTATTAAAAGAAGGGTAATTTAGTCATTTTGTACGTAAAAGGGGTATTTTTAAAAATAGACAGCTAAATAGGGCATTTTTTAAAAGGGGTATTGGAAAATAGACATTTTTGTGAATCTTCCAACTTTCAATACAAATGATTGAATAACAAAAATAAAATTTTTTTTTATACTTGCAATGTAAAAATAATCGGAATATGTAAGATTAGGCTGAGAGTAATAATCGGATAACTGATTTCTTTAGGGAATTAGTCATTAATCGAGGCAGATAGGCTGGGCCTAACAATTAAGCGAGGAGTAATCGGGATAGACGGAAATTTTTAGAACAGGGACCAAAACAAACAAAAAAACGTTAAACCAATTACACTTGGATTATTAAAAAAAAAAAAAATTAAAAAAAAATTAAAAAAAAAAAACTACACTTGGATTTCCTTTATTCTTCATAGTAAATGAATTGGATTGTTGGGCCAGTTAAATACATTATCGTGTTTGGCTATCGATCACAGTTTTATGTAACACTCATGAGGAGATATTATTTGTTTAGTAAGATGGTTTAGATGAGGTCTTATCTTAATTAAAATCAACTTCAAACCCCTAACCATACCACACAAATAAAAAGAGCACAAAAAGTCTAACATATACGACATTTAAATAAAAGTAATTAAAATTTTCAACAACCAACAAGGCACGGACATTTGATGCTACCAAAAGTCAAATATGCGGTTTCATATATGTCCACTAATTTCTATTTTTCTGTTTATGCTCCACATTCGCATTATACATTAGATTAGACCAACGATGGCGTTATCTCTTTGTAATGTTTTTTTATATCTTTTGTAAAAATGTTACCGAACATGTTCTTGTCCCCATCATCATATGATGATTACAAACCTAATATTGGATTTGTTTTTAAATTTTTTACTTTGGTAGCACTTTTGGGGTCCATATTTTGGACACGTCGTCGCCATGTGTTTTCCAAAAGAACAATACATAATAAATTTGGATAATGTTATAACTAGTCTTTAGAAACTAGATATAGATGACCATTAGGTGGTTAGTTGCTAAATACAGTCTATTGTGGTCCGCTTTTGGTAAACCAAACAGAATGTCTTTTTTGATTTGGTCCTCTTTTCCTTTTTTTTAGTGCGGTATGTTCTCATCGAGTTTATCTTGATTATGGCAGTCACCGGGAACTTCCTCAAAGCCAATTATTATTATACACTTGAAAACGTTTAATCACCGTTGTGATCTCACAGACCTTGCTCTTTGGTTGTATACGGGGCGAGCAGGCTCAAAGATGGATGTCAAAATTGACCAAATAATTGGAAATGCAAGAGTTTCACAGACGCCATCACGAGGAAACCGATGTCACTTTCAGTTCTATCTTTACCTTGGGTTGAATCGACGAAACTAATACTGTTCACACAACATATCCCGTTGTTTCTCCTGCCTTTTAATAGGTATATCACCAGTGGTAATGTATAGAATATATCGGTAAACATATCAACCATAAAACAAGTATAGCCAAACGTTGGCATTAACAAAACTAGTTTTACCCAAGACTAACACAAACTGTAGTTACCACAGGATGAGAGCGACCAAAAGCTTGAAAACAGTCATCTTTGTTTGAGAATCAGGTCTCCAAAAGAAGCAAGTGTTGCAGAGAAGGCAAAGAAATTGTGGGAGGTTAGCAACAAACTAGTTGGTTGATATTAAAATGCAAGAGGTTTATTAACAGTAAGGCTAATAGGTTTACCAATATCTTCTCCTAAGAATTACTATCGCAGTCAGTGTTAATGGACAAAGAACTCTAAAAAACTGTGTCAGGGGTTAGTTTTCTTACACTGTCTAAAGAAGTTTTGGAGTGGGTTTCATGACTTGTACCATGCACCAATCTTAGTCACCAGGCAGACAGCGCTCCCTAAGGATGGAGGCTAAGGCATGAAACGAGCAACAGCAAATGATCAGTTATACAATAACAAAAGAAGTTAGATAGCTGAACACTACAGCACACAGAGACTCACAAAGAAAACTGAAGCATTCAGTAAACTGAGAATTCTACATGTATCAGGTGGAAAATACACTCCAGCAAATCAGTATCAGCTCTCGCTACTGAAGAAAAACATGAACGGTTAAAAGTTGAGCCTGCAAAGAGAAAACAAGAACTAAAAGTGTAATGTGCTATGAGCAGAGCTTGATCATGAAAAACATAAGGAATTTGGTACTATCAAGCAGCATTCTCTTCCTTGCTCAACGCACTCACAACTCTCTTCAAGATGACTTCAATAGGCTGGTGAGCATTCTCAACCGCTTTGGAGATGGCTTGCCACTTCTCACCATGCTTCGGCTCACTAGCTACACACTTCGCCACAACTTCCTTCCTGTTCTCATCAGAGCCATGTTGAAGTTCAAATTTGTAGTACAACGCCCAGAAATCGCCAATATCTGGGCCAAGGGTAACAGCACGTTCAAACCATGATCTGGCTTTCTCCACCTTCTTGTCTTGCCAAAAGAGCTTTGCAACAGCTACGGTGACATGAGGGTCGCGATCACACTTCTTCATAGCATCCATACTCTTTGTTTTCCGTCGAGGGCGTGGCGCCATCTCGATGTCCGCAGCCCAGAGGATACCACTACTGGGACACTCTTGCAGAGCCTTTGACATCAAGTGCTCTGCTTCTCTCTTGTTGTCATGCCTCAGTTCAGCACGAATAGCAGCTAACCATAGCTCAGCCCCCCCAGGATTCTTCTTCCTGGCCGTGGTGAGAATAGCCCGAGCTTTGTTCAGCCCATTCACTTTCTCTTCAAGATCAGCGAGCGAGAGCCACAGCGGTATGCAGTGGGGACAGTGCTTCAAACCAGTATCATAAGCTTTCCTGGCCTGTTCCAAATGCTTGAACCGTTCCTCGAGCTGCCCAAGCATCAACCAAAGCTTGAAGAATGTTGGGAATTGCTTCAAGCCTTCATTAAGCAATCTCCTCTCCTCCTCTACGTTGCCAAGTTCTCTCTCAACAATGGCTGATTTCATCCAGACCCTCTCAGTCCCTCCTCTTTCCCTTGCTTTTGCAAGCAGCATTCTCGCCCTCTCTGGCTCCTTGTTCTCAAACTCGAGCTTGAAAGCAGCAAGCCAGATTTCCTCAGAGTTGGGAATTGCAGCGTAAGCCTCTTGTAAAATAGCACGGGCTGCTGGAACATCCCCAGCAAGCCACTTCTCTTTCGCACCCATGAGCCAGAGAACCTCAGCTTGCGGGACATATGTCACTGCCTTACGCAACAAGGCATCAAGGGACTCCCTACTCCCGTGGCTCTTCTCAAGCTGCGCCGCTTTAAGCCAGATACTTTTCTTGGTCAAGAATACAGTAAGAGCATGGGCGTATATTGCTCTTGCGGTCTCAATGGAACCCCTCTTCTTGCACTCATCTGCATCAGCAACCCAAGTTCTCTTTCTATCCTCTTCTTCGACTCCAATACCGATTGTGTTCTTAATAATCGCCTGGCATGTTGCGACAGACCCAGCTCTCTCAGAGGCCTCAGCCTCATTCATCCAATTTTCTCGGTCAATAACGACCCCTTCTCTCTGCAGAGTCTTTATACCCCTATCAATAATCTTTCCCACCATAGCTGTGTTCCCATTAGCTTCCTCTAACTTAGCAGCGGTGATCCAAATCGCAGGCTCCTTCGGGAGCTTCTCTCTCGCTTTATTCAACACCTTCTTTGATTCAGAATATGTTTCGAGCCTCGCAAGTGCCACCCATAGCTCCAGATGCAAAGGGCAGCACTCCACAGCCCTGTGAAGCAAAATCCTTGCATCATCCTCATTAGCCAACTCAACAACAGCCTTCCATAGCCTTACAGAGTCTGGAATATGTTCCAGTCCCTTTCTCAACACCCTACTCTTGTTCTCCTCATCATGCTCCAGCTTTGCAGCTTCCAACCATAGCTTTCACTGAATTGGGTATCAGCTTAACTCCCTTTGCAATAACCCCCTTGGCATCTTCTGGATTGGCTAACCTACAAGCTTCAAGCCAAACATCCTCATTTTTCGGGCACTCTTCGCAGCCCCTCTGAATCTGAAGCCTAGCTGCTTTAATCTTCCCATCCATTTCCTCCACTCTAGCAGCAGCAATCCAGCCATTTGGATTCTTTGGATTCGACTGAGTCAAACTCTTGTATAACAATCTAGCTCTGTTGCGATCGTATATCTCTTCATCAGTGGTTCTTTTCATACTCTTCAGGTCAGTTAAGTAGCCTTTAGGGTCCACAACAGTTTGCCCCGAAACTGAATCTGATAACCTATCAAGCTTCAGAGACAACACCGTACCTCTTCCCTCACCTACGGCAGTCAAATCTGTCACTGGCGTCTGCCCCCATGGTGTCTCCGAGCCACCAGCGGCTCTGCTCTTTGGGTCTAAGGCCATGACAAGCTCCTTTTCTTTCTTCGCCTTCTCCAAAAGCGTATCAGGAATAGGTACAAAGCTCTCAAACTTCTTCTTCTTGTTCCGCAGCGAGTAATCCCCAATCTCAGGAATACTGTCCCATTCATCCGCAGACAAAGTGTGTAATTTCCTCTTCAAATCCGCAAACTGCTCAGTAATCTTAGGGTTCGAGGCTCGGTATTTCTCGATTTCTTCCTTCAACTTCGCTTCTCTCCGATCTTTCCTCCTCGAATCCATCCTCTGATCAATAGACTCCCAGATGGCATCAGCCTCTTTGTCATCCTCATCGTACTCAGCATTAGCGAACAAACCAACATCATTCCCTTCAAACTCATCAAACGTCTGATTCTCATCGTACCTTTTCTCCTCAGCTTCTTCATCGTCCTCCGCTTCACTTGGCTTCCCTGCTCCACGACCTACTCCTGGAGCAGCCGCTGTAGCCGCAGCAGATCGATCAGGCAGATCCGGAGCAGCACGAGCAGGACCAATATCTGACCGAGTAGTAAACCCAGTAGCACCACGACCCAAACCCGCTACATAATTTGACGGAGGCTTAGAATTGAGGAAATCGAGACGAGGCTTCGGCGGAGCCATTCCTTGCATACCACCCAAAAGCGGGACATGGATAATCACAGTAGAGAAACGAGAAACACCGAGATCGGATAATAGAATCGAATCGGAATCGACGAATACATGGCTAGGGTTTCGCATACGGAGCGAGTAACGAAGGAAAGGCTTTGGAACATGACTGCGTTGGTGGACCAATTGTTCGAAGGCGGAGACGGTGGTTGATTTAGGGTTCACGTCGATCGACAGAGTCTTCCCGTTGGGGATCGAGAGAAACACCATCGTAACCTAATCGAGATTCTCCGATCAAAGAAACAAAACGATGTTAGAATTTGCGGTTACGACATTATAAAGGTGTGGATGAAAACAGTCGGTTCAGGGGTAAAGGCGGTGCAACATGTAGTGGGCTTGTTATTGGGCTTTTTAAAACTCGTTATTGGTAAAAGCTCAGTTAGTGTAATTCGAGATATTTATAGAACGACGCCGTATATGAATTACCTCGGTGTGTTTAATTCTCAAAAACGACGTCGTTTCAGTTCCTTCTCGGAATAAAAAGGTTGAAAAAAATGCGGTGAGCGTTGATCGAACACGCGACCTTTAGATCTTCAGTCTAACGCTCTCCCAACTGAGCTATCCCCGTAAAGCGTCTGTAGGTGGCTTTTTAAGTCCTATAGATAAGAAGATATCAAAACAATAGCTGAATCATCATATATATATAAGAAGATATCTTTATCACAGAGAGGTTGGACCAGAGCCTAAGGTGTGATGTGTTTGAGCATCGTCTTCATCGACAAACCCCAACAGAATCCGGAGATAAATATGCATAGAAATTTTAAAAAGACGAAAGCCTGGAATATACGGGCCACAGTAAGGGGCAAGGAGATAAGAAATCGAAACAGAGAAGACGGAATAAATAATGGTATTGGCGATCGAAAGAAGAATATTGTGACTTGTCGTAGCAAGCAAGGCATGATAGAATGCGGCTGACATGAAGACTAAAGCAAAGGCTAGTGATGGCAACGCCAACTTAAAGGCTCTGTGAACGAGTTCAGGATCACCCAACTGACCCCAGATAAGAGCAACTATTGCTACAAGAGATTTTTGCATTGCCACTGTGTCATATAGCACAAATAAGGAGAAGTTGATGTTGTTGGACAAAATGGCTATGCCTAAGTTTGGAGCAGAGCTGTTAAATCATCCGGGTACTGCAAAACCTGCAGCAAACGTTACTGTGGCTACAAGAGTTGCCACTAGTAGAAGTATGTTAACACGGTCTTTGTATTTGTCACCACCAACTTCTATATTCTCTGATCTGCTTTTTAGTGTCATTCCGCTCGTTGGTAGCAACCAATACCTCTTGGTTTGTAAGTGGATAACAAGATCATCAAAGTCAATCTCTGACATTTCATGACGACGAAAGAAAGTACTGAAGAAAAAGGCACATATGGGTTGATATTGGAACAAAAATATAGAGATCGTGATTTATGTACCTCCCTGAACACATAGCCAGGCTGTAGCTTTAACTCTGCAATATCGAGTGGTCTCAAGCCATCTTTGTTCTCTATATTTTGGATTTTGGTGGCGTTTGAAGGAAACTTGGTAAGGTCCATAACAATTCGAGGACGCCAATTTATGGTGGCTAGATGCAGAGGTGTATTCCCATCCGCATCTTGCTCCTCGATCAGATGATTCTTCTTCCTATCAAGTCTCTTGATATAATTTAAAAGCAAAGATTTACCTTTCCCACTCTTGGCTGCAATGTGAAGAATATTCTGACCTTGTTTGTTTAGAAGCTCTTTTGAATCTGGACAACGTTTTACAATCTCTTTTACAACATCCACATGACCTTTCTCTATTGCCATATGGATAGGAAACGAACCATCATCGTCGCATTCAAAGACGCGAGATGTTGATTAGTCTAACAGGTCGCATACTCCTTTATAATACCCTATGGATGCTCCAAATGAAAGACACGTCCGTCCATCTTCTCGTTCATTGATAAGACTTGGCCATTCATTAAGAATAGCATCGAGGATATCTGCTCAAACAATCGGTAAATTCAGTTAGATTAGGAACATGAACAGAGCTAAAAATGGGAAACCAAACCTCTATTATGTGCCTTTAGAGCTGCGTGTACAAGAGATTTTATTCCATCTAACTTTGAGGCTAAGTTAGAAACTTGGCCATGGACGTTATTACCAAGACCGTTCAACATCGCTTTCACTAGAGCTAAACCTCCAGCTTCTACAGCCATGTACAAGGGAGATATTCCATCGTTATTCTCAAGAAATGACCCGTGGTTGTTAGCATTCACGAGGCAGAGAGCGGTCTCCATATGATGCCCCTTCAATGCTGCGTGCAGAGGAGTATCTCCATCTGTATCCTTAAGACCATATACATTAAATCTCTCCCTCTCTTCTTCAGACAATATTCTAGCTGAGAAATATGTTATTGATGCAACAAGAGTCTTAACAACAGCTAAACGACCAGCACGAGCAGCAGCATGGAGTGGAATCTGATCCTTCCAGTTTGGCTCCAACAGAAGAGATGGGCATTCAGAGATTATGCTCTCCACTAGTTCAAGATGACCCAAAGCAGCAGCAAGGTGAAGAATGGAATCTCCTTTTTCGTTCTTGAGACATGCCATTGGTGTTCCATAACTTCTCATCTTTTCCACAAAATTTCTGTTCCCCGCTCTCATTGCGCAAAAGATTTCTGGATTCATTAGCACATATTCACCGGGGAGGTTGTAAAGATCTGACAGTATGAGATTTGTAAGGAACTCTGACACAGATTCCGTATGCGGCGTGCAGCAGTCTATGATCAGAGTCATTGGGAAGCATCTTGGTCTCCGTTGCTCAACAAACACACTCATTGATGCTCTGTGACTGTGTGCTTTGATTGTTTGCCTTCTCCATAAGTTGTTGCGCAAACCGTTATTAAAACAAAAAAGTTTCAGTTTCAAGGTTAAAAAGGCAGACCAATCTCATACATTAGCAAGAAGAAGGAAGATAGAAGTAGACTACAGATGATTGACCCTTGACACCAGTAACACCTACAACTTCCTTTACTTAAACCAGGACTGGCATGAAGGCTAGTCACCATCACAAAGAAAGGTCTCACATGGAAATTTCAGGACTGGCATGAAAGCTGGTCACCATCACGTAGAAATGTCTGGAAATATCAAGTAAACTTGACCAAGTATGAATTCATGACTTTGACAAATAAGTTGAATAGGATAGGTAAATTTGGCATTTCAATCAAGCCTTTAAACCAGTCCAAGTATGAATACATGACTTTTGACTTCAGAAATTCACTAAGCCAACATGTCCCACACCAAGTAAGAGAGATTCCACTGATTCGGAAGAAATGTCAATCAGTCTTACATAACCACAGATCATGCCCTGAATTGTTATTTTGCTAAGCCACCTCTAAAAAACAGATCTCAATATTACAAAAGTGTCAAGCCAAGTACAGAGCCTGCCTCAAAACCAAGTATAAGCTTGAAACAAACGCAAAACTCTGACATTTTATTCATCCATCTGAAGCAACGTACATGACACATGATTCTCCTTAATAACACAAGAAGCTGGGAATCGACTTAGCCCGGATTATTAGAGTCACTACTGCTGTTATCACCAGCGGCTAAAAGCAAAAAGAAATAGGGGCAGTAAAAGATGTGTCGAAGTTGGGTAGAAAACTTTGGGAACACATGACATAAGGAACAATGATCAGCAGCAAAACCAACTCCGATAGTCGAAACCACAAGAGGTCATATTGACTATCTGCCAACTACAATCACAGTGATTTAACTGAACCTAACTAACTCAGGTAAATGCTGCCTGTGTCTCTTCGGAACCAAACCTCATCATTTTGATCGACAAAATATCAGAAGTAGCACTTTATTTCTTTGAACAGGGTACAAGTCAGAGAAACAATCAAACCAATTCCCAGTAAGGAAACATATTGAAACAGGATGGCAAGAAAAGAACAACCACCAAATCAAACAACTTCCATTTAGGAAGAAGGATACACCACATAAGATTCTTTTCCACAAACCACATAAAATTCAAGAGAATACACCAAAGAGCAAAGACACAAACAAAAAGCATGACAGAGAAGAAGATCATGAATATAATGGAAATGACTATGACAAGCCCTCTGACATTCCCTACTGTGACAACCGCCCCAAAATAGAATGCACACGGCATGCAAAATAGAACAAAAAACAGTGATGGAAACGCCACATATAAGGATCTTTGAGCCCCAGTAACTAGGGTTCTTAATTGTTATTCTTGATTCATTTCAATAATTTATTCTTATCAGAATTGCTAGGAGACCTCTAAAAAACAGAGCTCAAGATTAGAAAGCAGGGCAAGCCAAAATCATAGAGGCTGCCTCAAAACCAAGTATAAGCCGGCGAAAATGCAAAATTCTCACGTTTATTTAATACATCTGACGCAACTTACATGACACATTTTTTTTTTGTAAAACAAAAAGCTGAGTAGTGATTTACCTCGGATACTTTCAGTACTTGTTTCTGTTGTCACCAGCGGCCAATAGCATAAGGAAATAGGGGCAGTAAAAAATGTGTCTAAGAAAGGGTTGGGTAGGAGAATGTGGAGACACATATGGAATAATGATCAGCAGCAAAACCAAGAGGAAGATCAAGCCGATGCCCAATATGAAATAGGCAAGCAATGGGAGGTGGCTTACTGCAGCATACGTGCCAGCCATAAAAGCTATCGACATGGATATAAGCGCAAGTCCGAGAAGTGGCAAAGCAAGGTTGAAAGCTTTCATTATGAGAGAAAGATCGCCCAGTTGCGCCCAAATGAGAGCAACTATTGTTATGATAGAACAGTACATCGCCAAGGTGTCGAATACCAGAAACACTTGGAACGCTGTTTTCTTTGCCAATGTTGCCATTCCCAAGTTGGGAACAGAACCATTGTAACCCCCTGGTAGTGTAAACCCTGCAGTGAAGGTCATAGTGGCTACAAGAGTGGCCACTAACAGAAGTGTATTGACCCGATCTTTGTACTTCCCACCATCTGGATTTTGTGTTACTGGAGTTGATATTATCAATTTGGGACCTCTTGGTGCACCGGCAGATATCAAAGCTATCCAAGTCAACCTCTGTAGTATCCCCAGAATGAAGCAAATTATATAAAGTACATACATAAGCATTACCGGTTTATAATGAAAAGTTCAATATCATACCTCAAAAAATGTGTAGCTGGAATCCCATGTTTTCCTCGGCGACATCCTAGAGCTGTGAGACCGTTATGGTTCAGCGTTTTCAGGTCAACTCTGTTGTCCCAAGTGAGCATACTCACAACTTTAGGGTGCCAGTTTTTGGTGGCCAAATGCAATGGTGTGTTTCCATTCGCATCTTCTTCATTAATCAACTTTTCATTGTTCTTATGCTTACAACATCTTAGGATAAACTTGAGGACTTCGAGTTTTCCATTCTTGGCTGCAACATGAAGAACATTTTGATTGTCTCTGTCTAGCAACTCAAGTGCGTCTGGACAACGTTTAAGAATTGCCTTGAGAATTTTGACATGACCATACTTCACGGCATTATGAATTGGAAAGGACCCATCATCATCGCTGACATAAACACTGTCTAGAGCTTTGTCTAACAGATAGCAAAACCCTTCATAATACCCTAAGGATGCTCCAAAAGAAAAACAAGTCCTTCCTTCATCTCTAAAGTTAATAAGACTTGCATCTTCACTAAGTATAGCCTCAAGGATATCTGCTAAAAAGGTTATTTGGCATTATAAATAACTTGAACAAGATACTTAAAGCTAGATAAGATTTGTCGAAAGAACGAACCTTTTCTCCTAGCCTTCATCGCCCCGTGTACTATGGATCTTCCTCCAATCTTTGAAGCTAAAGTAGATGTGCTACTTGATCCATTATTTGAATGTTGCCACATTTGTTTTGCAAGATCAGCCTGTCCAGCTTCAACAGCTAAATACAAGGGAGAAAACCCGTCGTTGTTTGCTACAAAAGACAAACATTGCTCCGCAGAGACCAAACAGGAAGCCACCTTCACATGTTTTCTTTTTAAGGCAACATGTAAAGCATTGTCTTGGTGTCTGTCCTTGACAAAGTATATCTTTTTGGCAACACGAGGCTTATAAGAAGATAAATCTTTAATAAAACTAACCAGAGCCTCAACAACAGCGAGATGGCCTGCACCTGCTGCAACATGGAGAGCAACTTCGCCCATCGAATTTGACTTCATAAGCAGACCTGGGTACGCATAGAGTATATAACACACTAAGCTGGTGTGACCCGCGGCCGCAGCAAGATGAAGCATTGTATTCCCATGATCGTTCACTGTACTTAGAGCAAGGCTAACATCCATTTTCATATCTCTCACGTAAGTTTCATCACCTGCTCTTACTGCGGCGACAGTCTTTGGACCCATTGGCACAGTTTCACTGGTGTCATTGAAGAGAGTTGACAAATCGAGAGAGTGCATACGCCCGGTTTCACCTGCATCTAACATCCGAGAGCTTATGTGTTTCTTCCGATAGTCAAAGTTCAGATCAGACCTTCCCATTGATAATTCAGCGCCTTGAAAATTAGGGATGGAAAAAAAAAAAAAAAAAAAAAAAACTGCATAAGATGAATTGATGAAGTAGAAATAACTAGGCTTAGTACATTACGACTCAAAGATTTTATATGTAATGATTGAACCGCGAGGAAACTGTATATCATGCACTAACATAGTTTTTTTTTTTTTTTTTTTTTGGTAAAATGCACTAACATAGTTGCCTGAACCTTCAGATAATAGAATCTCAAAGAGAAAGAAAACAATGAAAACAGAGTAACAACTAATAAGTAAGCAAGAAAAAAATGAAGACAGAGTAATACGTAGGCTTGAGGTTTCTTACCTTTTTCGTCAACCGAAGCAAAGACTTGATGCTCGAGAGCCCAAGGAAGACTTTCCCCAACTTCAATATTTCCCAATGCTTGCAGAACCAACTCCAAGATGCTTGCGATATAGATTGGTATGATCTACAGAAAAAAGAAGTCTTCAGATTTTAGTATTGTCCATCAAGGAAGAAGAAATGGTCAATTAAAAGGAAACGAACGCGTACCTTGTTTTTCCTTTTCCATTAGAAAAGAGTAGCGTTTTTTAAAGTCTACTATGATTTGTTTATTACAAAGAAAACAAGATATCTATATATATAATGGGAGAATTTTCTCTCCATCTAGGGTGTCCACATCAGCATCCATGTCATCATAATTTATTTTTTTGTGGGCTCCAGTTATTTCATTTATTAAAACAAAAACAATTAAACTAAAACTAATTCACACATTAAATAAAAATAATAATTGACAAAAATTAATGAAATATTATGAAAAAACGAAAAAAAATTGTATATTAGATCATATACAATATGAAAATTTTGAATAGAGATTGAATAAATATTAGATCATTATATTTTAACATATAATGAGTAAATATTTTTAAATAGTTAGAGATACGAAAAAAGAAACTTATCATATATTTTAATGGTACAAAATTTATTTTTTAAGAGTTACAATTATTTAGTAGAGTAAAGAAAATAAGAGTTAAAAAACCAAATTTAAAGGTTTTTACTTAAAATAGAAAGCAATTCATTTCTGGAAAATAGACATTTAAAATTTGAGTACCGATTAAAAAATAAAAAGAATTTAGAACATATTATTATTTATAATTATAATATAATATATATTAGTATATTTTCTATATTATTAATTTTTTCTAAATTAAAAAGTGAATACCTAAAAAAGAAAAACTAAATATTAATTAGTGTTTAGAAAATTAACATAGATTGAAAAAAATTAAGGTGATTTGCAATAATAAAAAAAAACTATCCTGAACTTCAAAAATAAAAATAAAATAATCTTATCGAGTATTAAAACTGTGTAATAATAATATTTGAGAATGCTATTTGGAAATTAGAATAGTAATGGTAGATAGAAGAGTTTTTCATTAGAAATAAGGGAAATTGTTAAAAATACCCCTTTTGGTGTGTCTCTTTTCAAAAATACCCCTTTTAGATGTCCATTTTAAAAAATGCCCCTTTTTAAATCTGAAATTTTTATAAAGTTTTATTAGGTTTATAAGGTACTTATGTATTGTAACTACTACTTGAAGACTCGATCCAAGTATTTATAAAATTTTATAAGGTTTTTTTAAAGGTTTTACAAGTTATTTTAAAGAATTTTTAAGGTTTTTCAAAGGTTTTACAAGATATTTTAAAGGTTTTTAAAAGTATTTAAAATGCATTTATAAGGTATTTATAAAGTATTTATAAGATTTTAGATACATAGAAATGTAGTTTGTGTATGTTTTAATAATATTACATACATATTTGGGTAAATCTTATATTTTTAAGAGCATTTTTTATAAGGTTTTTTAAAAGGGGTATTTTTGAAAAGTGGCATTGAAAAAGTGGCATTTTTGCAAAAGCCCCTAGAAATAAAAAGGATTTTAAAAAAAATAAATGTATTTTAAAATTAGAATAATTTTTATGAGTTCGTAAGTGTCACATTAAGAATACTTTCTAGAATCATAATATACGTTAAATTATATATGTAGAAAGAGATTTTTGTATTTTTCAAATGGTCAAGATAAAGTGCAAAATTTCACGTTGAAATCCTATGTTTACGAATAGGAATGAGTCTATGAAATCTATTTTCTATAAAGCAATTTTAGATGCACCAAAACATGGTAAAAAAAAAGCTTTATGATAAACATCTCCTCAGATTTCTGTTCACTTTAATAAAAAGATCATGAAACTTATAAAAAAAAAATTGAGTATCGAATGATATGAAGGAGAAAATAGAAATGATCTAAGGAGAAAAGAGAGTAGATGTTGGGAGACGACGAGTGAATCATAGAAGATAACGAAAAATATTGTAGTGAAAAATGTGAGAAACGTTTTACTATGTTGGAGAAACTTTATATCTTACTCATATTTAAACATGAAACTTTTGAATTGAGATTAGAGAAATATAAAATTAGATAATTATATCTTAACATATAATGCGTAATTATTTTTAAATAGTTAGAGATAAGAAAACGGAAACTTATCATATATTTTAATGGAACAACAATCACTTTTAAGAATTACAATTATTTATTAGAATAAAGAAAGTAAGAATTAATAAATACCAAATCTATATATATATATAATGAGAGAGTTCTCTCTCCATCTAAGGTGTCCACATCAACATCCATGTCATCACATTTTATTATTTTGGTAGGATCCATATATCTTATTTATTAAGAAAAACATATTAAAATAAATTGAGAGAAATTGTTAAAAATGCCCCTTTTTCAATACCCCTTTTCAAAAATGCCCCCTTTGAGAGTCCATTTTTAAGTTTGCCCTCTTTTAATTTTTAATGACTATTTTACCCTTATTTGAAACAAAATTAGGTCCACAAAATACAAAATATTTTTTGGCGGGAAAAGTGATCCCCCAATTTTTCCCGCCAAAACACTTGTAAAAATTTGTAAAACCTTTAAATTACCTTGTAAAATTTTCCCGTAAAATTTTTTCCCGCCAAAAAATTTTCCCGCCAAAAATTTTTTTTTGCGGGAAAAGTAATTCCGCAATTTTTTTGGCGTTAAATTTTTTCCCGCCAAAAATTTACAAGGTGTTTTAAAGGTTTTTTACAAGGTATTTATAAGGTTTTACAATGTATTTTAAAAGGTTTTACAACGTATTTACAAGGTATTTATAAGATATTATAAGATTTTACAAGCTTTTTTATACGGTTTTTACAAGTTATAAGGTTTTACAAGTTTTTTATAAGGTTTTACAAGTTATAAATACCTTATAAAACCTTAAAAGTACCTTGTAAAACCTTTTAAAATACATTGTAAAACCTTACAAAACACTTGTAAATACCTTGTAAAAAACCTTTAAAATACCTTGTAAATTTTTCCCGCCAAAAATTTTCCCGCCAAAAAAATTTCGCAAAAAAAATTGCGGAATCACTTTTCCCGCAAAAAAATTTTTTTGGCGGGAAAAATTTTTACGGGAAAATTTTACAAGGTTTTTTAAAGGTTTTTACAAGTGTTTTGGCGGGAAAATTGCGGGATCACTTTTCCCGCCAAAAAATATTTTGTATTTTGTGGACCTAATTTTGTTTCAAATAAGGGTAAAATGGTCATTAAAAATTAAAAGAGGGCAAACTTAAAAATGGACTCTCAAAGGGGGCATTTTTGAAAAGGGGTATTGAAAAAGGGGTATTTTTAACAATTTCTCTATATTTTAATGGAACAACAATCACTTTTAAGAATTACAATTATTTAGTACAATAAAGAAAATAAGAGTTAATAAATACCAAATTTAAAAGTTCTTACTTAATAAAAAAAGTAATTTATTTCTAAAAAAAAAAAATTAAAATTTGAGAATATATTTGTTAAGGTTAAAGTATCAATTCCTTATACCGGTTAAAAAATAAGAAGGATTGAGTACATATTATTGTTTATAATTATAATATAATATAAATAGTTAAATTAAGAAATTTGTCTATATTATTAATGTTTTCTTAATTAAAACATGGAGGGTTTTATATAAAAAATAAATACCTAAGAAGAAAAACTAAATAGTAATCAGTGTTTAGGAAATTAACATAGAATGAAAAAAAATTAAGGTGATTTGAAATAAAACAAAGACCTATGTTTTAGTAATGGTATATTGAAGAGTTTAATAAAACTGTGTAATAATAATCTAATCGAATAATAAAATTGTGTAATAATAATATTCGAGAATGCTATTTGGAAATTAGAATATTAATGGTATATTGAAGAGTTTTTTAATTAGAAAGAAGAATGATTTTGTTTTTTTTTTAAAATAAACGTATTTTAAAATTAGAATAACCGGATTGAGGACGAACGGCGAGGTAGACAATGATTGTGGTTGATTTACTCTTACTTTGTTTTGTTATTTCAGTTTCCCTGTTTTTGTTTTACTCTGTTTCTAGCAAACTCTTTATTTGTTTCAATATTAAGACGACAAAAAAAAAAAAAAAAATAGAATAACTTATGATTTCGTAATTTACATATTTTAGAAAAAATCAACACTAAGAATACTATCTAGAATCATAATATACGTCAAATTATGTATATGAAAAGAGAATTTTATATCTTTCAAACAGTCAAGATAAATGAAAAACTTGACGTTAAAATCCGATGTTTGTGAATAGCAATGAGTTTATATATGAGATTTGTTGTATACAAAAGAATTTTACATCCACCAAAACATGGTCAAAAAAACCTTATGACAAAACATTTCATAAAATTTTCTGATGTTCACTTTAATAAAAAGATTATGCAACTTATAAAAAAAGAATTGAGTATTCAAAGATAGGAAGGAGAAATGATATACGATATATCTTGAGAACTAATTCACAATCGAGTATATTATATATGAGTCAATATAAGGCGAAAAGAGAGTAAATATCGGGAAACAACGACTGAATCATAGAAGATAACGAAAGAAATTGTAATGAAACGTGTGAATTTTTTTTTACTATATTGGAAAGATAATGCACATGAATAAAGTAAAAAATATTAAATTCAAATGATTAGATTTATACTCAAAGATTCGCATTGATAAAAAAAATAAATAAAAATCCCGCGCGGTACATAATCTAGTGATCAAAAAGAAGAAAGCATTCAGTGATGGGTTTTCTCAACTTTCTAATGTCAAGTACGAGTAAGTTTGCAGCAGCAGAACTCTATCTTAATCCCAAGTCAACATCTCTCCAAGCTACTATCCAAAAATTCCATTACCCTTAAAGTCTTCAAGGAAAGCGGACGCAATCATAGGCTAATTAGCTAGCAGAAACCCTGACTTTTCTGTCTTCTCCTCTTTTTTTTCTCAAGTCAAATAGGCGACAAGAGAAGACAGATCTTTTGTCAGTTGGTCCATCATATATTATCCAATTAACGATGTTAAGAGTAGTGCACAGTATATCAAAGCCGTCTTCAATCCTCCAC